GGGTCCATTCCTGTACATACATTAAAATAAACATTTCTCTTCCCTTTGCCTGTGCAGGGTTTGTACAGAAGAGAAATACCCCAAATCCCCAGTCTCATGCACCCATTTGTGTGCATTTAATTCACTTACAAAAGACAGTCTGTGGATCTGAATTTTATTGAGAGCTTAGACAGATATACACAAATACACAATACACTTATATGTAATACATAAGTGTGTGTAACATCAGTTCTGGGGACTTGTAATCAGGTCCAGACTATAAAGTAGCGAGACTGATTTCTGATTTTTCTCTGTGTTCTGTAGGAACCATCTCAGTACTTTAAAATTAAACGGCAAACATAAATTAGCATCTATTTGCACCATATATAGAATATATTGCTTATACACACAGAAGTTCAGAGGTTAGACACAGTCTAGCAAACTTTGTTAAACATCTACTATGTGAAGGGTACATACACATACACATATAATATTATCTATAACATAGCTATACAATAGAATATTGGGGGGCACATCATATGCAAATGTATGAGTTTCATTATCATATATACACAAGTCACTATTTATCTGTTCTTTAGTTGCACTCTATTATTTGCATTACATATTTCATAGAGGCATATATACACAATTAAATATTAGAGAGTCAGAGTCAGACTTAGTATCTATCATAAGCATACACACTTATATATTCATGCATTATATATAAAATGTATATATTTTAGCACAGTGCTTTACAGAAGTAGTAGGCACTAGATAAATGTTTGTTGATGTGACATACATAAAATAAATGCTTGCATTTTTGTTAGTTTATTTCCTTCATTGCTTCCTTTCTTTCCTTCTTTCTTTTCTTGCTTCCCTTTCCTTCCTACCTTCCTTCCTTTCCTGTCCTTTCCACCTTGGTTCCTTCTTTCTTTCCTTCCTCCCTTGTCTTTTTTTTTTTTTTTTGGTCATTCTTTCTCTCACTGTCCCTCTTTTTCTCCCTGGATGTCAACAAGGGAATCTTCCAGGACTCAGCCAGAGATCCTAGCATGAACTCACCAGAGGTCCCTTGCCCAGTGTCTCGGACTCCATTCTTCTCAAGGATTCTAACCCAGGGGCCCTCAAATGCAGGGAGAGAGTCAAATGGGAAGATGTTCTGGTTTCCATAAGGCGCCTTCCCCTCGATTCCAATCCCAGCTGACTGTGTTCAGCCACAGATTTTATGCAGAAAATAACAAGAGGTTGAGAGAGAAGACAGGTCTTCTGCGTATAAAATAAAAGATATTTTGCTCTTTAGGATTTTTTCCTGTTTGGGGGGGGAAGGGCTTGATCACCTTCTTAGGACAGGATAATTCAGGACTCAAGTTGCTCTCTAGAAATAGCCTTTCGAAGCCTAATTCTGGGCTTCTAAAACCTAATTTAACAGTAGCAACAACAACAATTACACTTGATCTCAGTGAAAAGAGAAATAAAATTTCTGCTCTGCTTCCAGGGCCCCTCAGTGTTAGAGCCTCTTCTCTTCCCCAGAAGACAAGGTAGCTTGCATAGACATTTACAGTGCAGCGCTTTCTGTCTTTAAGGAGTTTTCTGGGCCTAGATCTCACTTTTTTGTCTGCACCGACTCCCTAATCAAAATTAATATGGTGGAGGGCTTCAGAACTCAGAAGTCTCCATTTGGAGAACTAAGTTTTCCATAAAGCTCTGATCTAGATTCCTCTACCTCTCAAAGGCTCTTGGGGTGGATTCAGTCACAAACCTTCAATGGGAGAAAGTTTCACACGCGCACACACACACACACACACACACACACATATACACACACACAACTGAAGTGGAAGCTCCAGATCCCCCAAAGAAGGGAGAGAAGGAGAGAAGCTGCAGTCCCCCCCCCCAATCACCTTCCACTGTTAGGGTTCCCACGCAGAATTTCTCTAGAATCCCAGGGCAGAAGTCCCTCTAACCCACGCTGATCACTCTAATCCAGACGCCAACTCAAAAAGGAACCGTTATCTCTTGGGACTTTTCATGTTTGCCCCCATTTCTTTGGGAGTAAGGAGAAGAAAGGTGCTAAACCTTACAGTCCTCTTTCTTCTGCCCCTGTTAACCTCTAAATAACAATCTCCTTTTTGAGCAATCTTTCCTATTTTTCTTTCTTTCTTTCTTTTTTGAATGAGCTTTGCCAGTCGAAATAAGCTAGGGGGACTCTGGCATCCTGAAGGCGGAAGAATAGAGGTTAGCAGCAGGCGAGAGCAGAAGGGCTAAGAAGTCTCAGGAGGAAATAACCCAACAGACAAGCTCGGCTTCGTGAGTATATGTGTGTGTGTGTGTGTGTGTGTGTACACACACATATATGTGTATATAGTACACACATATACATATGTACACACATACATATACTGTATATATATGTGTGTATATATGTATGTATGTTGTATATCCCAGCCTCCAGCCTCCACATCAGTTTGAGCTCTAGTTTATATACTACAGAAAATTATATCCTCAGCCCTGCCATGGTTCATAACGCTGTTATTTATGGTAGGGGAGGAGGGATTTTTTTCCTCGGGAATATATTTATTACAGGTAAGCCGACAGCAGGCTCCATCCGTCTCACAAATAGAGAACAGGTGTTTAAGTTTAATATTGATTCAGGACGACTCTTTGCTCGGTGTTCTCCCTCTCTGCCTCTATGCTCCAGCCTCGCTGCGTCTTTTCCTGTCTTTGCCAAGCATCCCTGAGCCAGTTAGGAGCAAACCACACCGGGATCCTTCTCCCGAAGCAGCCTGGGGGAAAACCCGCGAACCGCGTGTTCTTGGGCCCTGGGTCCACTGGTCTGTTGCCCTCAGGAGAGCTAGATTCGAGAAGGAGGAGGAGATGGGGGTGGGGGTGGTGGGGCAGTACTGGATGTCAGGATTGATCTTTAAAAAATCATTTTGGAATCGCCATCATGGAAAGAAATATGGCGCTTCACCCTCGTATTTCACATTTAACGACACGAGATGGCTTCATTTGGAAAGGAAGAGGGGGAAGGAAGGAGGAAGGGCAGAGTTCCCCCCCCCCCAAAAGATGACCTGAAGGCAGCGAAAAATCGAAAAATCATAAGTTGGAATGACCCTATGTCCTTTTGTTAAGGGGGCCTGAGGTAACAGGGCTACCAGAAAGACATGCAATTGGAGACAGCTTGCTCTAATCCCCTCGGTCTTCTCAAGACTCTTCTTGCTGCAGAGGGATTAAGCATTTCAAGACATTTCTTGCGCAGGCCACTGAGACTTTCAGCACCTCACTTTTCAAACACCCCACAACAGAAACTGAAAAAAAAAAACCCTGGCCCAAAGTAATCAATCATATTCCAATAAAGTTTTCCCTCTACTTCTTTTTCCCTTCCTCCACACTACACTTTGCTAGAGTAGATCTCAAACTTCTTGGGGCTCCCCAACTAAGGAGCAGACCACTGGCGGGTTTTCTGGAAGGAGGAGGAGAGGAAGCTTGGTGAGATGCGAGATGAACCAAGGTGTTGATCGGACCTATCAAGTGCCCGAGAAGTTTATATCAATGAAATGCGCTCTTCGGAAGCACCGGCTAGGCTGCCAGTGAGGTGGAAGACCATTTCTTCAATCTATTCTCGGCTGCCTCATGATTGCCTTACAGGAGGGGATGTGGTAGCTTGCCTTAGAGAAGCCAGTTCAGGGAGAGAGGAGGGGGAGAGGACCTATTCCTCCCCCGTTCTCCATTGCAGCCTCAAGTTGTGGGACTGGAGGCCTGAAGGACAAATGAGAAAGAGTAGATAGCTACTTTCCAACCCAAAGGTCCAGCTCACATTGGGGGCCAATATCCCTCTTCCTTCCCTTCTCCAACTGGAGTGACCCCCAAAGTACTGACCAATAATCCTTCACTTGACGGGATTGGGTTAACTTTGTGGGCTGGGGTCGCAGAGAGGTGCAAACCACAGGGAAGTTCTCCTTGCATCCCGTTCCAGGGCACCCAGCCTCCACCTCTCTAGTGCAAAATCAGAGGTATCTCGCGTTAAGTTTGTGTTAAACTATTTACCCGGCACAAGTTTCTCGGGTCCAGTTTACTCCTTTCATTGTATTTTACTAATCCCTTAAACTCAGGCTGGACTCTGATTTCAAGCGGGGGGGGGGGGCTGCTGGACTGATCCCCCCTTCTCTTCCATTGTTGTTTGTTTTTGGGGGGTTTTCCTCCGTTATTTAAGGAGACAAGGGAGGCCGAGCGATTAGGACTGTCAATCCCGCTCCGCCCAAAATAAGCGCAGTAAAGATTTTAAAAGGCAGGCCACACATTTCTTCTCAAACTCGCCACTTTGGATCTGTTTCTCTGCGTGTATCTATCTCCTCTTTCGTTAGCTCGTTCAGTTTCACTCCAATCTCAAACTACTCTGCTTTTAAATAAGAACAAATTACTATTGGAGTAGCTTGGGAAAGGAAGAGGAGGCCTTGACAGGGGTGGGAGAGTGAGGTGTGGGAGTGTGAAGGAGCGGAAACCATCTATTTTTTAATTATTCCTTAGGATCTCTCCGGCTGTACTCCAGGCTGGGGCCCTTTCCCTTTGCGACCCGCCAGGGGAGAGTGCTGAGCAGCCAGAGTCCCTCCGACGAAGCATACAGCTCTCTCCGCCTGTTCCCCCACCCCCGCCCATGTTGAGAGTTAACCCCCCTTCCTCCAAACGGGGGGGGGGACCCCGGGCGGCCGGCAGCTCGGGCTGAGGTTACGTGGTCGCTGGAGCCCTGACGTGTTGCCACATTGCATAAAACAATTCATCCTTGATATGGAATGCAGCGCGGATGACAGCGGGAGCGCAGCCCCCTCGCTCGATTGATTTACGTCGAAGCTGACGCTTTATCAGGCAGTCGGAAAAACTTTGACCAATCATTTTGCAAGAAGCGCCGAGCCCGGCTGCTCAACTGTACTTTGTTGGCTGAGAAGTTGAGCAGGGGGTGGGGGTGGGTGGGTGGGGGGTTGGGGGGTCGCGTCCAAACCCTCAGACCTGTCCTGTAGCCACCTCTCCCGATATAGGGCGCCTCCGCGCTAGCGCTTCCCTTCCCTGAAAACGCTCCCTGTATAATGTCTGAGAATGTCCATTTCTGGGACGCTTAGCAGTTATTATGTTGACTCGATCATAAGTCACGAGAGTGAAGACGCGCCTCCAGCCAAGTTTCCTTCCGGCCAATACACGAGTCCTCGCCAAGCCGGCCACGCGGAGCATCTCGAATTCCCCTCCTGTAGTTTCCAGCCCAAAGCTCCCGTCTTCAGCGCCTCGTGGACGCCTCTGAGCCCTCACTCATCGGGGAGCCTCCCTTCTGTCTACCACCCGTATATACAACACCAGAACGTCCCGCCTTCGGAGAGCAGGTATCTCCGCACCTGGTTGGAGCCGGTGCCCAGGAGCGAAGGGGGGCCCGGACAGCCCTTGGTGAAAGCCGAGCCGCTGCTGGGGGGCTCAGGGGAGCTCCTTAAGCAGGGCACCCCGGAGTACAATTTAGAAACTTCGTCCGGAAGGGAAGCTATCCTATCTAATCAAAGACCCGGCTACGGAGACAATAAACTTTGTGAAGGAAGCGAAGACAAAGAGAGGCCTGATCAAAGTAAGTTATAAAAAGTGAGGAAATGCCAAGGCAGCTAGAGAGCGAAGGGTGGGAGGGAGGAGGTGGGGAGGTGGGAGGGAGGTAATAAACCCCGGACAATGTGAAGTTACAACGGTGTCGGGCTGAGAGAGAGTGAGAAGGAAGGAGGGCGGGTTATTCGGAAGTGGGGCAGGCCAACTACCCCAGGAGGCGGGAAAGGGGGTAGATGTGGCAGTCCCCTTAAAATTCTATGAGGAGCTTTGTCCAGGCAATAAAGGCATGCTGGACCAGTTTCCCGAGTTCTCTGTCTTTCTCTTTCGTACTCGAAGGCAGGGAGTTGCTGGCTGGATTGGAGCGAAGTTGGAGGGGAGAGGGCCACTGAACTGGCACGGAGAGTGTCAGGGACCAGGGGGAGCAAAACAAGGCGTAAGGGGAACCTGGGAAGCTTCGAAGAGATCCCTGGCCCCGAGACTTAACCTGCTAAGTTCTCTCTGACTATGAAAGTGTGTGTATGGGGAGAGGTCTTGGAGACAGAGTACTCGCGTTTCTTAGATTAAATTCACTGTCGGTGAAATGAATATTTCTGAGCCACGGGCAAACAGTAAAAACAAACAGACAGCAAAGAGAAGAAGAACTGGAGGGAGGGAGGGGGCGCCTCATTAGGGTTTTATTTGAGATGCAACAGCTTGGTGAATTGTTCAAACTGAATCACGCGCCGCTTCCATCCCCTGTTTGGGGGAGGGAGGGAGGGAAAGATGAAGGAAAGGGACAAAAACAACCACGTAATAATAGTACCCAAGACTTCCGCCCTCATCCCGTCTCAGTCTTTCCAGCTCCGCCTCGCCAACTCCCCCTCCGGGTCGGGAGTTAATGTGGGCACGGGCGCAGCTAGCCTGGAAAGACCAGAAGCCAGAAGGGAAGCCTCACACCTCCTGGATGTCTTCCTGGTCCCTCTGAGCTCGAGCCAGTCCCACATCGTCTGTGCTTTCTTTTCAGCTGAGGATGATTCACCTTACCCAGCCCCAAACTTCTCCCTCAGGAGTGCCCCCGCCCAGTAGCCTCTGTGAGCTGTATCATCACGCCTTAGTTGGAACGCTTTGACACCTCAGGAGTCCGCTCTAAACTTCCCTGGACCTATGGCTCCTGATACACAGGTCGAAATTCCAGTTATATTGGAGAGCTGATGGAGTTGATTGGGTGTGTGGGGGCTAAAGGGGAGCTTAACTTTTCTGGGTGGACCTTGTCCTGCACTGCTCCTCCTTCTCCCCCCCCTCCAAAAAAAAAAAAAAACCTTCAGATATACTTCTTTCCAGATGCTCCAATCTTTGAGAAATAGCAAGTCTCCTAGTATTGCCTGTCCCCGTTTTTGAGGTCGAGTAGAAGTAAGGTAGGAGGTACTTGGGCAAAAAACATGCCTCCAAACAATAAACAAAGCCGAGATGAGACATGGCAAGGTGTTTCTCTCTCTCTCTCTCTCTCTCTCTCTCTGTCTGTTTCTGTCTCTCCTCCCGTTGGGGCCGAAGATACAATTTGCAGTCCTGGCTCCCCTCTGTCTGATTCCCTATGGTTTTTCCACGCCAGAGTAGTCTGAAGAGGGACGGCAATAAGGGGTGGGGGCACAGGAGGTGGCTCAGCAGGGTTAGAGCTTGGGTCAGCTCTGCTGGAAAAGACGACTCCCCCCCAACTATCTCTCTCTACTGAACAAACGTTCCCCTCGAACTGGCGGGACTGAAACGGAAAGAGTTTGTATTTTAGGAGGACGCCCACAAAACCTCCCCCAAAGCCCCAAACTCGGCTTCAAAATCCCATTAAAGAGAGGGAGCAGCTTCGCCAGCATCAATTATTAACAGCTTTCTTCCTCTTTAATATTTAATGTTGCTCCATGTCCCAGCCCAGTCAATCACATTAAGGAAATAGCGCAGCAAATTGGTGAGACACGGTACTTATAGCGTCAGATTAACCGGATTATTTTAAAATATTCAGGGCATTCCATTTCAGGAGAGGAAATCAACTCAGGCCGGCTGTTGTTCTCCATTGGTTGAGCTTTTATTTCGAAAATTCGAAAAGAATCGTAAAGAGGAGGCAGAGAGGGCTGTCTCTTAGTTTTTATTTTGTTTCTTCCCCCCCTGATTCTTCTCCCCCTTTCTCCCACCTTTGCTCACAGTATGGGCATTGAGCAAAGTAGGGGTGTGTGTGTGTGTGTGTGTGTGTGTGTGTGTGTGTGTGTGTGTGTAGCGGGAGACTTGAGACCAGGGCTCTTGCTCCCCTGACCCATCCTCCTCAATTTCCGTGCATATTTTCCCTGCACCTTGGCTTAACTAAACTCTGAGGCCTAGAGAGGCCAAGGTGAGAATATTGCTTTCATAAGTTATTTCAGAGCCACCGGCAAAGTCGCGTGGATTGGAGTTGACAAATGGTTGCAATTGGAATGTGTGTGCCGATGCACTCGTGTGCCTGTGTGCTTGTGAGTTTGGGTGTTCTTGCGTGTGTTTTGACACGAACATACAAGTCCCTTGAGGCTAGTCAGTGGCTCAGGGCAGTTTCCATAATGAAGGAAAGTTGGTATTGGGGAGAACTCATCTGTTTCCGACCCCAACCCTCTGCCCTTTGTCTAGAATATCACCCCTATCTCTCTCTCATCCTGACCTGTCCTTTTACAATGTTCTAATCCTGAGCAATATAGAAGAGGGCTTTTTTTAGCCCTATCCAGTTTAGAAAAGAGCTTTGGTCTGTTAGAAAGTGTTAGAGATTTGGCTGAAGGCCGAAGAAGCAAGGGTTTGGTCCCAATCGGGAAAATCTAAACCAGGCAAGTGTCATAAAGTACTATATAATCGTGTGTCGTCATTATTTATTATTATTATTAATTTCTTAGCGGTCTCTTTTAGGTGAATTCCCACCTCCAGGTGATGACTTGGGAGAGGGGGGAGAGGGCAGATGAACGAACTGGGTATTTATTGTCCCCTTGAAGTACTGAGGCCCAAAATGCATGTGTAGTGCTGACAGGAGGGGGCAGGTCAGGGGCCAAATCCTAAAACTATAAAGGTTGGGGAATCGATTCTCTTCCTGGCCATCTTTTCTCTTCCTCTCTTTTGATTCTATCGCTCCTTCTCTTTCAGCCAACCCCTCTGCCAACTGGTTGCATGCCCGCTCCTCCAGGAAAAAGCGATGCCCTTACACCAAATACCAGACGCTGGAATTAGAGAAGGAGTTTCTATTCAATATGTACCTCACCAGGGACCGTAGACACGAGGTGGCCAGACTTCTCAACTTGAGTGAGAGACAAGTCAAAATCTGGTTTCAGAACCGACGGATGAAAATGAAGAAAATGAATAAGGAACAAGGCAAAGAATAGACAGCTCGACCCTCCCCACCCCCTTCCCACACCCTCACTTACCCCCTCACTTCCATCGAATCTTATTTATAAGCGATGGTCACAACACGATGCTCCCAAGGTTTCAATCATGTAAGCGGGGAGGGGGTCCCTCTCACTCTGTCGCAGACTTTTCTATGCCCAAAGTCTGGTTTCGCACTTCTCCTCCTCCTCCTCCTTTGGGCTCTCCAGCTTCCTAGCTGAAGATGCTTTGGGGAACTCCAGAATGGAGCAGTAGAAGTGGGGATAGGGTGGGTAGTTGGTTTAGAAAGTAGATGTAACCAGTTCAGATCCTTTTAGCAGATGGGAAAATATGTCCCAAATCAGTCTGGCTGCCTCCTTCTCTGTCCCTGTAGTGGGTTAGGACACCATTTTTGCTGGCCACACAGAAACCCGCCCTTGGAGACCCTTCAACACGTAAGCCCGATAGATGCCTGTATTAATACACGGGTGAATACTGCATGAAGCACCGACCGCACTGTTAGAACTGTGGGCTATTCACACACAAACGTACACTGTTCATACAAGAAACACACATCCCTACCTATATACCTATACTTATCTGAACAAGCTTCCCTCAGATTAAACAAACGTAAGCATAGAGACATAAAATTACACTTAAGCTAGCAGGATCTCCATCCAGGATACAGCTCCACAAAAGGGTCTGGTGCAACCCCTGCCTCTTCGCCCCCCCTCCCCATACATACATGGTGTTGTTCTTAGAATCTTAGAGAAGACTCATTCGCTCCATACTTGCTCACAGATGATCCACTCGTTTATTCGAACAAACACATACACCCACCAAAAAACGCCGCACAGAGCTGGAAGCTGAGGTGGGGTGCGGGAAGAGCAAAGTGGGTCTTGTCCTAATTCACTGTCTCCAAATCCGCTACCTAACTCCCTGACAGGCTCCTGGTACCTTTATGCTAAAGACAGGCCAATTATTCGCTCCTTTTTTTCCATCTTCTTTTTCCCCCATATCTCCATTTTTGTTTTTGTTCTATGTTGCGAAATGCCAGATCCTGCCCTGCAGTTTTCCCAGCTCGGAGCACTTCCCGCAGGCCCTGAACCTTGGAATAGTCCAGTCCCAACCCGGACAGACCGTCTAATTAATACCTTGGAGAGTAAACCCAGCTCCCTCCATTCACTTTACTCGGCACTCTATTCACCGAGGCAAGGCCGGGAGACTCCGACTTGTAATTTATTGTGAATCGATTCCCTCCTCACTCCCTTCCAAGAGGAGCTGTGAATGACAAAACTGAGTTGTGCCTCCTGTAAGGACCCGCGGAGGTCTTCTCTTTTTCCTTCATACCGCTTTGTTTCTGGCCCAACATGTCTGCAAAAAGCCAGTAGAATCCGTAGGCTCCCGAAGTTTCCTCTCGAAAAGGAATGATAGGTCCCGCTGTGTTCCATCTCGCCCTGGAAAAAGAATCCCGAGACTCTGTGCGCGGCGCAGAAGTCCGGACTCGGTCCCGGACTTGGGACCACCGTTGTACCAGGGCGCCTTCCCTTGGGCCTAGTCCCGGGTGGAAAGGACGAATGGAAGTCTTCGGAGAGACAAACTGACGCTTTCTTTCCGTCCCTCCTCAGTCCCTCCCCGTACCCGCATTCCCCAAACCACGTTTTGGAGGAACCATCTCTCCTTGTCCCCCCGCTGCTCGGAGGGGGAACTCGCTTAGAACTTTTTGCTATGTCGCTGGGTGTTGTAATGTTGTGTCAGTGTTTGTGCTTTTTTGGGGGTGACCATGCCTCCTGATTTCGGTTGCCACTTATTTTGGGGAGGGGGGAGGGGAAGAAGACGGGAAGGGAGGGGGTGAGCCCAGAGCTCAGATTGTTCGTTTTGGAAGAAAAAAAAGAAGGAAAAAACCCCCGAAATATATATATATATCTCAAAATAAATCTCTCTTTTTGCGTGCATCTCTTGTCTCTCCTCTCACCCGCCTAAGCCGTTGCCTTGTTCCCGGGAAGGCTGATGGAGGGAAAAAAATTATCAGATTTCTCTGAGGTGGAACCCCCTTAACCCTACATAAGGAGAGATGGGGAACTATCCTCTACTCCCTCCTCCACCGTTTCCACTCCCAGAAACCGTGGGCTCTGTTTGCTCTCAGGGAACGAGCTTCTAAATTAGGAAGCCCGAGCCCCAATCCGATGAAGGGAAGAAAGGAGACGAAACGGAAGAAATGATCCTGGGGTTGGGGGAGCGCTGATTTCTCCCTCTCAGGTTCTCCACACCCACCCATATCCCGAGCTGGAGGGAACTCTGCTATTTCCCCCTATTCTAAACCGTTTTACTGGGATTAAAACAACGGTCTAAATACCGGCTTCTCTCTTCTTCCAGTCTCCTTATCTTGAACAAATTATGTCCATGCTAAAGAATGTCACCTTTAGGTAGTCACAGGTAAATAAACGCTGAGTAAATGCTTAAGGCCCTGTAATATTACTTGCCTTCCAATGTAGAAACCCCTACCCATTCTCAAGAATCAGCTTTCCTTAACTGGTTTGCTGTAAGCGGGAATTCCTAGAATTGGACGAGAAGGCCTGTTTCTTTCAGGTTTCTCTAGGAGGAGAACCAGTCTGTTCAGAACATCCATGGAATTATTCCAGTACCCATCCCCTGTCCTCTCGGAAAAAAAAAAAAATGAAATCCTGACCAGGCCAAGGGTCTCCCATTTGGATTCATTTGGAAAAGTCCTCTCCTCCCTTTTTCTTTCCTGTCTCCCTTCTTCACTTAACCTTGTTAGCCTTTGCAGGGCATGAGATTGGGGGTGCTTAGTCAGGATGTCTTCCTTAAGGTTTTTATTTTCCTTTGCCTTACCTCAATCACAGGCAGCAGTTAGGGGGTGTATTCTTAGAAAGTATGAGAGACTCTGCTGGGGACATGAAGGGTCTGAGCTGTTTTTCTTTCCAGGACCCCCTTTGACAATCATGGATTTGGATTCTTGAGGCTCTGTGTCCTCTCTCTCTGATGGACTTAGATCGCCTTTAGACCTTGGAGCAAGCCTCTCCCCCCTCCCCCACCTCTTCTAAGTAGAAGTTTATAATTATTTTAGTGTGGTCCCACAGCCTGAGTTGGCCTGACCTGGGTATAAGTACCAGTAAGTCTTGCATCTCTGACCTTAATCCAAGCTGCTCCTCAACCTGCCGATGCCAGGGGGCCCTTTCTTACTCACTAGGGGTTCTAAGGGAAGGGAGGTAACTCAGTAATGAGGAGCCCAGAAAATTAAATGGAGGCCTACTCCTCTCAAACTAAGGAAAAATAAATAAATGGGAATGAAAACTATTAAGGGAAAGAAATCTGGACGTTTGTGTTAAGGGGCTTTCTTCACATCCTATGGATGATGTAAGTAATAGAAAATACCGCCTTTTATTATAGGTCATAGAAAATATATTACATGTATAATAATTGGCCCCGGTCCTGCTGATGCGGCTCTGTGGTCGGCAGATAGCGCTGAGCTCTTCTCCACAGTGAGAGCCCAGTGAGGAGAGCGGACATCAGCAGGAAACAGAGCTAGGGAACCAGAGAAAGGGACTTCTCAGTGGCGCCGGGGTCCCACGGATGAGAGGTGGCTACTTTGAAGGGGAAAACAAAGAGGGTAGAGATGACTTGTGAAGGGAAAGAGATTGGGAAGTCACTTGTCACTGAAGAGAGGGAAAAATACAAGGAGAGAGAGAAGGACGCAAAGAGACCCCGAGAGCGAATTCAATGCAGTGTGCGCTGCAGTAAAAGAATATGACCGCTATAAAACTTTATAGCGTAGAAATTTCTGAAGGTTAAGAAACTAAATAGCAGCAAAGCAAACAGTGAGCGGAAACTTTTCGGTTCTCCCAAATTAGTGCTGGGGCTGGGGCTGGGGAGGGAGGGCGGGGGTGGGCAGAGACAGGGGCTACATCTGTGGACACCTCGAAGTTTCACACACAAACACATACTAGGGGTGGCGTAGGGTGTAGGGGTGAGAGGAGGGGGAAGGGGGAAGGCGTAACAAGGGAAAAAAGAAAGGGGGGAGGAGGGAAGGGGACTTTGTTGTCACAGACGCTTTAGATATTGCATTCCGGACTCATCTCTTTGTTCTCTCCACCCCCCCTTCCCTCCCACTTAGCAGTTGCAGGCTTCTAGAATCGAGAGTCGTAAACGAAGCTCTACAGACACACACACACACACACACACACACACACACACACACACACACAAAGTTAAGGCGAGACGTCTGGATCAGGGCAGGCTCTGATCTATTTACAGCCCCTCTCCCCTCTCGTCCTCTCTGTCCCTTATTCCCTATAGAAAGCCCAATTGTTTAGTCTCAGGATTCGAAACAATTGCGTGGCTTTTCAAAAGCGTTCCTTCCACACCGCCGGCCACCCCCCCCCCCCCGCCCCCTTGTATGGGCCCTAAACGGTGCCGGGCCTGGCCCCTCCCAGGCCAAAGGGGGGGGGGGGGGAATGGGGGGAAAAAAGCTTTTCTTTTTTTTTTTTTTTTTTTTTTTTTTTTGGCCTATCCGCAAAACTTCATGAACCTTTTCCTGATTTCAACTCTTCTCCTTCCTCTCGCATTCCTCCTCCCTTTGCTAATAACGAAAGGTCTTGGTTTGTTTTTGTTTTTGTCTTTTTTTTCCTTTCCCTTTCTCCCTGCAACCAGGTTGGACTGCTGCCCCAGGTCGGAACTTGTCGAGGGATGACCGCTAGATGGCGCCCTTGCTCCATGCTAAAATCCCCGGAGCGCTGGCTCTAGGGCACCAGGACTTCAAACATCACCTTAGCGGTCCCAGAAGCTAGTAAATTGCACATTTACCGAAACTCATGGATAATTTGAACGTAATAAAGATATCGGGCTAATTATGGTCATTTCCCAATTTTGTGTGTATATATAACATATATACATACATATATAAATATTTGTTCCCACCTTTCCTAGGAAATAAGGAATTAGAATCTCACTGAAGAGAAATCTATCCCTGTTCCCCAAGTGGAAGGCTTGGTAAGGGTCTAACAAATATATTAAAATGGACACTAAATCACTAATAATATGTCCAGATAAAACATGAGGCAGTAGTTCCAAGGTACAGGATTTTTTAGGGATATATATGAATGATTCCTAGATATAGAGAAGTACAGGTGAAAAGGGGTAGGGAAAGGAGGATGGCCCAAAGGTGTTAGGAAGAAGGCATCTTCAGGGGAAATCTTGACTTTTAGAGTCGGTACTGTGGGGACTTGGGCCTGACTGCAGGAGAGGCAGGCTGTGGAGGAAACAGGTCAAGCAATGACACTTTCCTGAGGTTCGGAGCAAAGGCATTTGTGGGACACCCTTTGGAATTTTGGTTCTCTTGTAATAAGGGAGCTAGAGGAGTGGGTCTTTGAAGTTCAAGGGATTTAATTTGTTTGTCTGCCTGTTTCTGTCGTCTGTCTGTACACCTTACCTACTTACCTGTCTACTTATCCATATAGATATTCTAAGGTTCCTGGGGCCTCCATACGTCTATTCTCCCTGGAACTGAGGGATAATTTAGACTTCTCCACCTCGGATTTCGACAACGGGAACACTGGTGTTCTAAAATGCCCCTTTCCGTGTGGGGTTTTTATTTTTCTTAAAGATCTTGATGACTGAGTCTGTCTGGTTCCATCAAGGAGAGATACTGGGCTACCTAGCTACTTGGATCTCGGGGGCACTTGGGAGGGATGGAGGAGAGCAAGCTGTTGCCTTTTTTTGCTATTTTGAGGTCAGAAATCTTGATTTGGAGAGAACTGGGTAGGGGGATGTCCTCTTGGGATCCTGTCCTCCTTGACTGCACAATTAGGCTTCCCTGGAGATTTTTCAGTCCTTCCCCAATTCCGGGTCTCCCCTACCCCACCACGAGAGCGGAATGAGAGGGCCTTGGTCCTACTGCATTGATTAGCGCAGGAATTCCCGTGTCTCCCTACCTGAGAGAGGACACAGACTGCAAATTCAGTTTTCCCCTCAGCTTACACCCCCCTAATAAATCTAGCCTCCGATGGGTGTTTATAAATTCTCTTCTCTCACTCTTTCTTGTTTTCTCTTATAATAGAAACATTTTCTTTTCTTCGGGAATCTCCGGTACAGTAGTGGAATGATTTAGGAGGAGCCTTCCCCTCTCGTGGTGAGTTCCTGACTTGCTGGTGAGTTCACTCCACGCCTTAGGCATAAAAAGCTTCCGAACTTGATAAAAATGTTAACTTCCTACAATCGCTTCACTCTTGCCTCGTTCCCCCCAGTTTTCCCTGGCTCCCTCCTTTCTCCGCGCCCCCTTTGTCTCCTCTGCTTTTCTCCTCTCCTTTCCCGTCTCTCTCCTTTTCTCTTGTATCTCTCTCCCATTCTCCGGAATCCACTATTGAGTTCCTCCTGGAAGTTCTGCCCCGCTGAGGTGGCAGGGGTGGAGGAGACATTCAGCAGGAGATTAGCTGCGACTGGGGTGGGGGTACTCCTCAAAGAAGAAGAGTAGCACTTCTTATTTTAAACCAAAGCAATAAGTCGGGGAAGGGAAGGATGTTCGAAGGGTTCTGAAAAATAGAGGCCTAAGCCCAGTTCGGAGAAGTGTACAGGAAGACATTTGAGGTCAATTAAAAAAAAACAAAAACACTAATATCTTGGATACAAATCCATTTAACTTCCCTTTTTCCCCCTGCAAGGAAAACGATCTCAAGAAAGAGATGGACCTTTAGGGCCCGACAGAGTCAGAGCACCCCATGGTAGTCAAGAGTGAAGCAGAGAAAGGGGCACATTGAATACTAATAGGTCCTGGCCAGTAGAA